GGGGGGGATGCAGCTCAGTGTGAATGATCTGGGTTCATTCTTAGAACCGCAAAAACAAACAAACAAAAAACTGCCCCTATGGATGTACTTAGCCAACCTAACTTTCTGAGATCATTTCCTGTGGTGTATCAGGAGTGGAGTTCAAAAGTCCCAAAGCTCCCTTTCCATTTCAAAACTCTGCTGACCCTGGACCATTGCTATAGAAATGCAAGGAGGAGGGCTGAGGATTTAGCTCAGTGGTTTCGCCGCCTGTTGCGCAAGCACAAGGACCCGAGTTCGATCCCCAGTACCAAAAAGAAAAAAATGCAAGGAGGGGTCCATCCTACAGCATTTGGAGGTGCTTAATGTTTGGAAGCAACACTGGTTATGCTCTGTGGTCGACATTCCTGGCATCCTCTCTTGGAGCTGCATTAGAGCAGGCCTAACAATGTGAGTGGGAAACAAACATGGTGAGGTGGGAGCAGATGTCCCCGGTGCAGGGAGAGTAGATAACAAATGACCACAAAGATCAGGTGCCATATCTATGTTCTCAGTTTCCCCAGGTCAGGAGTCCAGGTCTAGCCACTTGCTCAGTTGGCACATCCCATACATCTTCTGAACAGAATATGGTTCTGTTCAAGGTCTCCCAGGACTGCAAGCCAGGTGTCAGCTGAACTCAGCTGGGCACCTGAATAGGGAGGAGTCATGCTGCCGGGCTCCTTCAGGTTGTTGCCAGACTTCATTTCCTTGTGGCTGTAAGAAATGGGCTCTGGGCTTTTGCTGGAAGATGAGGCTGCTCTCAGGTCCGGAGACTGCCAGGGCAGCTTCCTCTATAGGGCTGCTTACTTCATCAAGCCAGCAAGGAGAACCTCTCTACTGCTACTAGCAAGATGATATTTATGTGTGCTGTGATAACAGCACAATAATAATGGAGTAAGAGCCCATCACCTTTGTATTCTCTACCGCTCAGAAGCAAGTCTCAGGTTCTCCTTGCACTTAGAAGGGGGCAATTACACGAAGACATCAGGAACCAGGAATTATTGGGGGCAATTCTAGGGCCTGTTATCCAGAAGGGTCACATTACCTGCTTAGAATTTACAAATTATAATAAAACCAACTCAAGTGGGTTTGCTGTTTTATGAACAGCTGGAGATGGCCATTCTAGATGTTGTGACAAAATACTCCTTCCTGAAAAATCTTTAAATTCTGGACAGTTGTGGAAGTGAACACTGCGTTTGAATAAGATTATGTAAGCTTCATCTAAAAAATTACTTACCCTTTAATAAGCATTGTATTTGACATGGAAGTGAACTCGTTATTCTAATAGTTGGCTCCCAACATGGAGACTTGGCTGTATGCTTTCATCTGAGGTGTTTGCAATGGTTCAGAATAACCTGAGACTGGGCCAGGGATTTAGTTCAGTGGCAGTGTGACTGCTTCACAAGTCAAGGTCCTGCGTTTGATCCCTGGTACCACAAACAAGACAAAACAAAACAGAATAACCTGAGACTGTTCTGAGTGCATGTACATAGCGATATCTCCAACCCCTACAGGAGTAAAGAACAATCAGATCTGTTTAAGCAGATCTGCAATGAACTGAGACGATAACATGGTGACTATGATGACAAAGAAACTCAACTGCAGTTCCTTGGACAGTTGTTACCTTATTTCATCACTTGTAGTGTTTGTGTTTAAACGTTTTAAAACTGGAAAGCAGTGTAATGTCTTGTTATTTGGCAAATGCACATTTTAATACATGAGAATTTTACTAGACTTACATATGATCTTTAAAATGGAAAATTCCTTTTAAATTGCTTATTATTAATATATATATATTTGAGCCAGGTCCCGCTATGTAGTTCAGGCTGGCCTTGAACTCAATATGTAATCGAGGGTGAATTCATAGTGATCCTCCTGCCTCAACCTCCTGAGTGCTGGAATTATAGCCTTTCACCACCACGATGGGCAAAATTGTTTAAGTACTGCACACTACTCGATTGCACCACTGGAGCTCCAAAATTGTTTATTTTATTTGTTTTTTGGTACCGGGGATCAAACTCGGGTCCTTGGGCTTGTGAGGCAGGCAGCGGAACCACTGAGCTAAATCCCTAGCCCTAAAATTGTTTATTTTAAAACTAAAGGACAGTCCAGGAGTGGTGGTGCATGCCTGTAACCCCAGCACTTGGAAGGCTGAGGCAGGATTGCTGAGTTTGAGGTCAGCCTAGGCTACATAGTCCAAGGCCAATCTGAATTACATAGCGAGACTCAAAAAACTAACCAACCAACCAAACAAAACCCCCCAAACAAAGCAAAACTAAAGGACAAAACTGGCCTGTAATCCCAGTCCTCTGGAGGCTGAGGAAGGAGGATCTCTATCAATTCACCCTAGATTACATAATGAGCTCAAGGCTGCCCCTAGTGAGGCCGTTTCAAAAACTAAACAAAACATTTAAAGGACGAATTGAGAAAACAAAACATTACATCAGTACCATAACTTAGAAGTTGGCTACTAATTTTCCTGCTGCTGAGGAATGGAAATAAACAGCCAAGTCAATGTGCCGTACCACTCTTCAAAGCCCTATATATGTATTATTTTTCCTTTAAGAAGTTCTCAATATTATTTATTTATTTATTTAATCTTTTTGGTACCGGGGATCGAATTCGGGTCCTTGTGCTTGCAGGGCAGGCGTCGGAACCACTGAGCTAAATCCGTGGCCCTCAATATTACTCTTTAAGGTAGATCCTGGTACATTTTGTAGATAGTGACAGTCTGGGGCGCAGACGATTGTGATTTGCTCCAGATCATCCAAAGGCAGTGGCAGTGCTGAAATGTTGAGCCCCGGAAGCGTGTCTCCAACGCCTGCGTTCGCAGCTTTAGTAAGGAAAAGCCGAGCAAAACCGATATCCCCAATATCCTTGCAGACCGATGGACGGAAGCTCTCCGAAGGATAGTAAGGCTTCTTGCCATTCCTGGCCCGTCCCTGCTACCTCCTGGGCAGACGGGTGCTGGCTTCGCAGGGGCTCTCCCCCCCCACCCCAGGGACGTATGGGGTGTACTCTGGGTTTCCCCCGCTCCACCCTCTCCGCACCCTTTCCTGCTCCCGGCTTCTGCCTGCCCAAGGTTTCTCCCGGCCCTTCCCAGCTTCCGGTCCTTTGCTCCAGACCTGGTCGCTGGGGCAGGCAGTGCCAAGAGCTCTGGAGTCCTCTATTTACTGTTTGGTTTCCACGGTGACACGTAGGCGCCGTCAGCGACTCCCGTCAGAGGGCCCGCAGCACGGCCCCCGCCCGGCGCCGTGACGTCTGCCCGCCGCTTCCGCTCTGCCCATATATGGCGCAGCCGCGGCGCCGCGGGTGGGGTGGGGTGGGGTGGGGTGGGGGAGCGGGCCTCCCGCCGCGCCCCACCCCGGTCCTGCCCCGCCCCCTGCCGAACGCCCTGGAGGACGCCGGTCTACGCGCCCCCGCCCCTTTCCCCTTGGCGGACGGAGGCGGGCGGAGGCTCGGAGCATCGAGGGCTCTCGCAGGTCTCCTCTGTTCTGGGTCTCTGCTTGTTGAGACTGCAGTACAGACTTGGGGCTGTGTCGTTTTCCGGGTGGGTGATGTGGGATCACGATTTTCTGTCTGTGTGCCCGGAAATCACGGAAACAGCCATCCCTCGCCTATTTTATGTTTTATAGGTTTGAATTTAAAATTTTCGCCCATGGTGCAGTGGGAAGCTTTGAAGACTGCGGTTCTGGGGTCATGCTGCCGACTGGGGGATAAATGACCATGAGAAGGCCATTTCCTGTCCCAGGCCTGGTAGTGCTCACAGCCCTGTGCCCAGGACCGGGAGCGGAGACTTCCTGTCACCTCTGACTGCCCCCTCCCCTGACGGTGGATCAAGATGAAGTTCTGTGATGGCCCCTCCCGTCCTGATCTCTGCAGGAACTGGATTTGTGTGTCTCTTTGCTCCTTGCTCACATTAGGCACTTCATTAACTTTACTTAACTGGCTACTGAGTGAATCCCAGGCAAGTTTCGCCTTCCTAAAGCCAGACTCCTGCAATTCTCCTCCAAGGTGGAGGGAATATTGTGATGATTAATAATCGCGTGGCAGGGTTACTGATACAAAGCGATTTGCAGATGTAAAGGGCAGTAGACATTCCTGGGAGGGATCCAGTGAGATTCCAGAAATCTCTGAGGAGCCGTGGGTGTGTTCCACCGGGCCATGAAGCGGGGCGGGGGGGGGGTGGGCAGTGCCGCAGTGGCCTCTGCTGGGCAGCGGCTTGCAGAGGGGAGGAGGTGGTGAGGCTGATTCCGCAGGACGCCTGTCACCTCCTCCCGCACCTCCAGGTCCCTCATCTCTGGCCAGAGGAATGGGTGTTTTTCAGAATTTCAGAACTGTAAGGCACATCAAAGTTCATTATCTAATTTAACCTGGGTATCTCACAAATGCAAACTAGGGCTCAGAGAAGTTGGTTCATCTATTCAGACTTAAGTAGCCAGCCTGAAACAGCTAAAAGTCGGATTTCTGTCCTCAAATTTTGTTCTTTCTTAGGGGCTTCTAACTGCCCGTGCTCCTGTGACCTCAGGACCCTTTGACTCGGCCCAGCTGGTCGTGTGTACAGTTAAGCTATATATTGACTTCAGGGCACCTGAAGGATGTCACTCACGTTTCTACTGCCACACGTGAAGCACGACATGACACCAGCGGTGGGGTGGTGGCTAAGAGGTGTGTCCTTCCCAAAGCCACTAATGTTCCTCCTTATGGTGGTCAGACTGGCTGTCTTTGTCTAGAGACAGAACCAAACTGGAACAGGCTATTCTGAAACCAGCCTTAGACTAGCAGTTGGTCACTCTTCAGTTACCCATAGCATGCATTAGGCTTTTCTCACTCGCGACTGCAGCAGGAGGCTGAGCAGCCTGGGCTCCCGGAAACCAAGCTCTGTCCTGCTGTTTGGAAGGAGTTTTCATGGTGCATGGGAGTGGTGGCTGAGAGGATGCCTCCTTCCCGTGTCCTTTTCCCTTTCAGCCTCACGCAGCTTCCTCTCACAATCTCCTTCTCTAACATCCAGGCTGATTAGAAGGGCTGCTCACACTGCGTGCCCGCCAAACTACCCTTTAGCCAGACCCACGGACTTCGTGGAGCTTCTGGTCCGCTCTGTTGCTGCTTGGAGCTGTAACCGTAGAATAACAGCTCTGCCCCCTGCTGGTCATTGCAGGTAGAGCCTCGTGGATTCCAGAAGCATCCTGGCTGCGCTTCTGGGCCTGGGGAAGAGGTTTTCCTTGATCGCTCTGACGGAAAGAGCAAAACCTGGCAGCCAAAAGCAAACCAAAAAACAAACCGCTCTAGTTTTTTCTCTCTGGCTTATTTCTGAGGATCTGGTCTATGTAAATGCAGGAAAACAATTCCGTAGTTTCACTTGCCAGGATTGCTTTATATCAAAACCTACCTCATCTTTCAAACCCTATTTCGCAATCTATCTCCTTTAAAATAAATACTCTTAAAAAAAAAAAAAGTTTTAGTCGGGGATTTAGCTCAGTGGTTTCGCCGCCTGCTACGCAAGCGCAAGGACCGGAGTTCGATCCCGGTACCAAAAACAAACAAAGAAAATACTCTGAAATATGGCTGTATACAGAGCCAGCACACAGGGTGCGATTATATGCTCTCTCTTTTTTACTGTTGTTTCCTTAGGGGTGGGGGCAAGGTCTTGTGTATCTTTTATGTTGCTAGACCCCTAGCACAGGGCTAGGGACAAAAATGGCTCTCAATGGGTCCTTGTTTGTTAATTGACTAATTTCCACAGAAACAACCCAAAGCCTTTGCTTAGATAAAGCGTCTAGAACTCTTAGTTCTTGGGGGGGGGGGATCTAGATAGTGATCTGATCAAAATGTAGCCTTGCACAATAAGTTGTTTCACAAAGCAGTTTCACAAGAGAACACCAGCACCACCCGAGTGAGTGAGGAAGTCTAAAGCTGCAAGCACTCTCACAAGAGTGAGGGGGAGGGTGCAGTTCAGGAAGGTTAACGGGCCAAGAATTAGGAGAGGGTCCTCTGCTCCTTTGTTAGAGAGGAAGACAGGCTGAAGAGTCAGCTTCATGTGCAGAGTCCGTTACTTCCGTTGTAGCTTTGGGCATGTTTATTCTCTGTGCCTCAGTTTCTCCTCTGTACAAATAAGTACCCATCTCACAGCATTCCAAGTTTGAACTGAGCTGCTAATGGGCTAGAACAGTGCCGGCTACATAGTAAGTACTATATACCTGTTTGTAAATGGGCTTTTCAGCTTAGCTGTCTCATGAAAGGAATGCAGAAATGATGATCTCTAGGTTCCCTTCTGCACCATCCTTTTGGGGTGTAGCATAAGCTTTAGCAGCAGGCAGATCTGGGTCGACTGCTGTTTCTGTTTTCAGTTCTGTGACTTTCCTGGATCCTCCATTTCTCATCTGTGAAGTCCGGACAATTGTCTGTCTCCAGAGACTGTTGTGAATGTTACATATTTATAAAATGCCTGGCTTATAAAGAGAATAATAGAAACTACAGTTACTATTATTGATGAGAAGAGCCCCATAGAAAGGAGAATAGGATCTCCCAAATCTTGAGAAAGACTGAACTTATTGAATAGTGTGGAGACCAGCTGTACTTACAGAGCTTCAGGGAGAGGTGGGCCTTGGGTCTGGGCCATGGGTAGCTATCACAGTATTTGAAGCAACCAGCACTGATTTGACTCATTCAACAGTTCTAGAAACAGTTTCTGCTCTAGGGCTTTGCTGAGGGTGTGGACCCAGTGGAGCAGGGTGCCAGGAGCAGTAGGTCCTCCTACACTCCTTCCCAGGAGGGGGGTTTTAGCAGGAGAGGGTGTGTGCTGGGTGGACCTTGGAAACCTGTTGTTGATGCATGTGTGTGTGTGGGGGGCATGGAAACCATCCAGGGTATCCTGCCCCTGCAGGTGGACTCCTAGGCCTGGCATGGGCAGAACCTGCCTGCGCAGCTCCTCCAAGCTGCTGTTCCTAACCCTGAGGGAGGACACCCCACCTAGCCTGACTGGCAGCAGTTATCTCAAGGATGGCGGAAAGGAGGGTACGAGAGCCACACGAATCTTAATGCGTGGAAAGTACTAAGTGCCGCATGCAAATGCTGCACGTATTTCTTTGAGTTCTTTTTGAAGGGGAGGCAGAGTTTCAAAAATCAAAAATGATGGGATGTTGCCATCCCAGACGTGTTGGGAATCACGCTTAGGGTCTGCCCACTTGACTCTCTTGTCCCCTGTGACACATGAGTTTTGTGTTCTCAAACAGGCTGGGGACAGGGGACTTATCACTAAGTAAGCTGTTACTGGGGATCACAAATAGTCTGAGGCCCTGGCAAACCCATCTTCAGAACTGCTTGGGTATCACAGAAGAATCTGTAAGCTTCCTTCCAAACTCCTATTTCCAGTAATGGCAATGGAGTGGGCCCAAAGGAGCCACCCCCAGAGTGGAACTCGACAGTAGAAACTATCTTAAAAAAACAAACAAACTACAGCTGAGCTGGGGGTGTAGCTTAGTGGAAGATCACTTGCCTGGCATTTGTGAGGCCCTAGGTTTGATCGCCAGCACCACACATACACACAAACCAAAAAAGCAAAACGATGAAAAACTCTCTCTAACTTATGAAGAGTCACGAAGGAGGGAATATTGGCTGTCCCTGGGGAGGATGGAATGTGTGTTTCTCCTTTTTGCTTGTCTGTACTTTCTAATTTTTTTTTTTGTTTCTGACAAGCAGATATATTGCTTTTGTAATAAGTAAAAATATTTTTAAAATGTTCCCAGTAGAGCAGTATGTTTGTTTGTTTTTAAAATAGAAAACAGAACATAATAAACAAAAAGGTGCAAACCCCCCCTTACTCTTTTTTTTGCTTTGCCCTTTATTTCCCAAAGAAATAGATGTTCCTGGTAAAAACCTTTGAAAATTCATGTAATTAAACATAGAGAAAATAAAAGTTGGTCATCACAGGAATAACCTCCCAATATATACTTCAGTTAATATACTATAGTTTGGTTTTTGGTTTTTTTTTTGGTACCGGGGATCAAACTCAGGTCCTTGAGTGTGTGCAGCAGGTGGCAAAACCACTGAACTAGATCCCCAGCCCAGAGGACTCATTCTTAAGGCTTTTGAAATGTAGCTGTGTAGTGTCAGTACAGTGATAAATAGTAGGATGTGCAGTTCCTCTTGTCAAACAGGAGGGTGGTGCATGCTGAGCATTCCAATCTAAAAATCTGAAATGCTTCAAAATCTGCAAATTTTTTGGGGAGGGGGATGAAACCT